AATGAAAGACAGTATACACTTTGGATGGTGGGTAGGCCTTAGACCTGCAGAGAACCATCATAGCTTTCAGCTCTGGTCACAGAGTTGACAGACATTTGGAATTATAAAACAGTACCAATAATCCTGATTTGTATGCATATTCCCTCAATTGTTATATATTTCAGCTCAAAGCTATAAAATACTGACAAAGGAACAAAATATCATATAGACRGACTGGGTCTGTAGGCCCATACTTCATGAACTGTGGTATTTACTAGGTTACAACATTTCCAAGTAAAGATAATCATGGATATTAGGTAATCATCTAGGACATCATTTTAATGGGTACAATATTGAGTTTTGTGGACATACAATAAATTCATTAAATAATTCTCTCTTTGTGGCATTTACAATTTTACACTTTAACAAATAATGGTGCAGCAAACTTCTTCACACATGTATTCTGTTTATAGATTTGGGTATGCTTTCTGAGAAGAAATTTCTGTAAGTTGGCTCATTGACCAAGGTTATATAAATTGCTCTTTGTGATAGTAAAATTGCAAAAGCAATTGATAGTTCTGATATATTCCTATAACTCATAACAAAAACAATAATTATTTTTAAAACACTTCACAAATCAATATATGAGCTTATCAGTAAGAATAGTTTTAGTTATCATTTTATTGCTTTGAAAATTTTTTTATTTTTCATGCTGTTGATCACTGAGATTTTTTAAAGTTTCATGCTCTACTGACTGAGCTAGCTGAGCTCATTGGCATTTTTTTAATTTGTCTTTTTTCTTTGGACAGGGACTTTTCATACATGTGATTTATCTGTTGATATTTAACCTTATAATGTTATTGAAAAACAATTTGTCTATCCCAAAGGAATAAATATTTCATGATAATTTTCTTTAACTATTGTATATATTTTATACTCAAACCTGTAATTTATATGAACCATATATAGAATAAGATATGAATACATCTAATATTGACTTTCTTCCAAATAATTTAAAAATCACCCCAGAAACATTTATGGTATAATTTACATCTTTTGCAATAATTTGCTCTACCATCTAATGAATATTTTTGTACCCCTGGGCCTATTCATGGGCTTTCTGTTTTTTTCCATTTTTTTCTTGAGTGAAACAGATTTAATAAATTACTCGGAAAATAAGTAATATGCAAACATGTGGTAAACAATCCAAACAAAAAGGGAATTTTCTGGGTTTTTTTTTTTTTTTTTTTTTTTGGCATTGAACTCATGGGCACTCAACCACTTAGCCACATCCCCAGCCCTATTTTGTATTTTATTTAGAGACAGGATATCACCAAGTTGCTTAACATCTCACTTTTGCTAAGGCCTGCTTTGAACATGTGATTCTCCTGTCTCAGCATCCCCAGACACTGAGATTACAGATATGAGCCACACCTGTGGGAATTTTATTTTATCCTTATCCCTATTTAAAATTTCCCTTCCTAGAGACTATCACAGACCACAGTTCTCTGTATCTTCTAGTCTTTTTTGTTCATCGAATATATATAGATATATAGATATATATTGTATTTTTCTCCTAACCTAGGGATTAAACATATTTAAAATATTGGCCATTTATACTTCTTTTCCAATAAGTTGTCTCTGCATAATATTTTGCCTATTTGTGGCTTGTCTATTCTATTCTGTTCTATTCTATTCTATTCCTTTACCTRTCTCTTCTTGCACCAGCAAAAAACCATTTTTTCTTATTGTAATTTTATGACATATTTTAAAGTTTTAATTGTATATATGTATATATATATATATATAATTTATTAGGTTCTGTTTGGAATTATCTTTATTCTATTCTCATAGACTTTAGAATATTTTGTGAATCCATTTAACCTGATTCTATTGAATTGTTTTAATCTCAGGACACTTAACATCTCTATTGTATATTCACATGAAGGAATGGTTTTCTCTAGTTGAGGTTTTCTCTCTTGATGACTGTGATGTCTTATAGTCGTGTGTGTGTGTGTGTGTGTGTATGATCTTATATATATATAATTTTTATACATTTGGGACTTAATATTATATTTGTTTGCATTTTGCTAAGTTAGACCTTGTTTAGTTTTAGATACACAATAAAGGAGTATTTTTGTCCCTGTATTTCTAATTGTGATATAGCATATGTGTATAATTCAAATACACTACAGGGAATATGTCAAAAAAACTAAAATCATTAATTTTATGTTTGGACACCTCTATATAGTAGTATAGGGCATATTAGTATATGAAAGTTATTATTTTACAAATGACTCTTTTCCATATATAAATGAATGATATATTAATTAAAATTATGCTTATATAAAAGTATGCTCAGATGAACTTTATCTTATTTCACAGTCTTCTCACCTCTGAATAAGGATTGGTGGCCACTCTCTTGCTTCTAAATTTATCCTGTATAGAACTAAAAGTTTTCCAAAACAAAAAATATAAAACATAAATCTGGATACCCCATTTCCTATTAAACAGACCCAATCTATACTCAATTGAGACACATGGGTTCTACTCTCACTCATAAGTTAGGTTTTATCTCATAATTCAATATACTTACAAATTAAAAATACATATCTAATATATTGCTTTAATCATTTTCAACCTGAAAAATAACTTAACAATTGACAGTTATTTGAATTAAGGCAACAATGCTGAGTGTGTTTTTTGTTGTTATTGTTGTTATGAAGCAGAGAAGGAACTTTAGAAAGTAAATATTTTACAACAAAGAAAATACAAATACAAAATTWAAAAAAATAAAATAAATAACTCTATGTTAAAATTGGTGTGGCTTATGTTGTGTGGCCCAGTGAGAGGAAGCCGTGAGGTGGAAATAATACTTTTAAGGCAAAGACATAATATTGATGATTCTGTTAAAAGCCAGAACAACTCAAAAATAACTCTTATGTGGAATAGCCGCTAAATGTCAGTAAGCATGGGTCCAAAATACATTACTGACTTTTCTGAATTACCATTGATGTCTGAGCTCTGACACTTTTGACTATAAAATGACAGCTTTATTTTTGCTTTAGAATGTCCCCTGATTCTTCCCAAGGTCTGTCACTTTATGATGCAGAGGTCAGGGACAGGGTTGGATCAAGGGAGCAGGTACACTCAGGCAGAGAGCGTTTKCAAGAGCAAGGTCTTGATTTCACCTTCCACAATTAGTCTCCTGTCTTTGGCTGGTATGGCTACACTCACACAGCAGCCAGCAACCTTTAAACAAAACAGTGGAAACACGGTCACACGGCTTTTTCTTTTAGTATTGTATATAGGAGCTAATTAACTAAAGCTTTTCACTGGGTGGCTGTGACCTCTATGTGACTGAATTTGTGAGTGGTTTCTGCTTTGGGAAAGAAAATGATATCAAAGATATTGGGAATCTGTATTTTGTCCACAGCATACTTTTTCTTTCTGYTGTGGGATTGGCTTTCTTTGATCATAGAACCTAGAAATGAGTGCCAAGGCTAATGTATTTGAAAGCTTTCCTTTCTTGATGATACAGGGTCAAAACCATGCACCTGCCCCATTCCCATGTTCTTCCTAGCCTGAGCTGATCTTTCTGACACACAGAAAATCTTTGGGATTCAGTAGGCCCTTTCCTGCAGACAGCCTGGCACTTGTCTGCCTGCTCTGCATTAAGGAAGTTTGTGCCTGGGTACTCCCCTGCACCTGTCTCCACAGTCGCCAGGAGCCAGAGCTGGGAGGAGCTAACATTGTTGGAATATCTATTTTAAAAGTCCGGATGTCAAGGGTGGTGCTATTTTCATCCTCACATTTATAGATAAGGCACATTGGTTGGGTAAATGGGTAAGATTTTCCCGTGCCAGCTAGTGAACAGTTGATGCTCAGTCTTGAAGWTAAGGGGGTGTCAGAGAGAAATTTTGTTCCCAATTATGTGGACATCTCACTTGGAGCAGGAACATGTAGGATCTCGCTTTATTTTTCTCCCTGTCTAGACACAGTTAGGACTCAGTCCTATAAATAAAAATACCACTCAGTAAACTGGCCTTACTGTAAGTACCTGTATATCTGTCATGATTATGTGACTATGACAATTGATTTTATGAGTCAACTTAATTAGGCCATGGTATTCAGTCATTTGTCCAAACATGAATCTAAGTGTTGCTCTGAAGTTATTCTCTCGACATGGTTAGCATCTACCATCAGTTGAATATAAGTAAACAAGATTTTTGGTAATCATGAAGGTGGGCCTCATCTAATCTGTTGAAGCCCTAAAGCAAACACTAAGGTTTTCTGGTAAGATTTTTTTTTTTTTTGCCCCAAGGCTACAGCATTCATTTCTGCCTGAGTATCTCCCCTATTGGCCTGGTCAGCAGATTTCAGACTTGCCAGTCTCTGTGATTGCACAACCCAGCCCCTTACTGTGAGTCGAAATAGAGTCAGTTCTTGTTATTCACAAGGATTGTTCCATGAAATTAGTATGAACACCAAACTTGAAAAATACTACACTCAGTTTTTTGTTTGTTTACTCATATTTTGGTGCTGGGATTGAGCCCAGGGCCTTGGAACATGCTAAGAACATGTTCTACCAGGGAACTATACAACTCCAAGGAACTGACTGAAAATTCTAAAGTCATTGCTGCTAGGAGAAATATAGGGCTAGGTTCAAAAAGTCTGATATTTWAAAAAAAAAAAGTTAAACTAAGAAAAATTTGACATATTAAGCTATGTGCTTAAGGTAGAGTATGCCTCTTCTTTCTGGTAACTTAAATCTACAGAGTTTGGAATAGCAGACATATCTTAACTAATAATTTGACTTTGGTCTGTGGTTGAACTTAAAGCTAGAGTTCATAAAAATATTCTAACTTGACCATCTAGATTAATTACCTTTTCACAAAAGTATCAGATATCCAATTTGACCTGATGTATCTACCTTTCCAAAAGTCTATTTTGACTTCATAGCAAATTATATTATGTCCACAAAATGTATTAATCCATTTAARGGTTTACTGAGCACTTACTATATGCCAGGCATTGGGCGCTGGAGATACACTCTTGAACAGGTAAGATCCAGACCCTGCTCTCATGTTGCTAACAACCTGGTAGGAAAGAGAGACAAACAATGTATGGAAAACAGTAAAAAGAATTACAAACTTGCCCCCAGACAGGAAAATGCTGCATATCTGTCTTCATAAGAACAGAGCTTGCACTGGAACCTTTGGGAGAGAAGGTTGAGGATACACAAGTTAGAACCAAAAGCTTGAAGTACGTATGTGCACCCTGGAATTGATCAAGCCAAAACTCTACTTTTCCAGGAATGTGGGGTATTGGCATGTCCTCCAGGCCTGAGAATAGAATCCCKGGTACTAAAGGGCATGTCTCTGAGAAACACGGCCTGAGCAAAGGCTGCAGCCTAGAATTGGTAATAGGGGTAGTAAAACCTGGCTGCCATTAAGAAATGGGAATCCGTGACCATGYTTTGCTCCCAGGACACAGCATGTGTGCTGAGTTCCCACACACAGAATGATTGAAAATATATTATGCGTATGATTCTATCAGGCAGACATGGAAGAAGGATTTTCATCAGAGAAACAGAGAACCCCAGATGTTACCCAAGAAAATTACCGCAAACCTGGCAAGTCTCTGAAATGGAATACTATGGTACCTACTTCAAATTGTTGGTAAAGATGAGATACAACTAATTGCGATAATATGGCATTGGCAAGAGACAAGTCAAATAAGTCAATGAAAAAGACAAGGGATCCCGGAAAGAGACCAACAGAATAGGATGAAGATGGCCTTCAACAAATGGAGTGGGAGCTATACACCCAYGTGCAAAACTTGAATCTAGACACTGACATTCCACCTTTCTGAAAATTATCTCAAAGTGCATGATAGATCTAAATGTAAACTGTAAAACTCCTTGAAGATAACACAGGAGAAAATCTGCAGGACTTTTAGAATGGCAAGGWTGTTTACATGCAACACCAAAGGCATAATCCATGAAAGATAATTGATAAGATGGGTGTCATTAAAATTAAAAATATCTACGTCTGAAGGGAAGAGTTGAGACAATCAGAAGACAAGTCACAAATGGGGAGAAAATATTTTTAAATGACATCTCTGATAAAGAATTGTTATCCTCAATTTGCAAAGAGCTCTCAAAACTCAATACTAAGAAAACAAACAACCTGATTTAAAAACCAGCCAAAAGCATGAACCAGATACCTCATCAAAGAAGATAACCAGGTGGAAAATTAACATATGGAAAGATGCTGCATATCACATGTTCCCAGAGAAATGCAAATTAGAACATCAAGAAGACCATTACACACCTATTAAAGTGACCAAACTCTGGAACACCAAATCCCGTGAAGGATGGAGGGCAGCACTACCTCTTGTACACTGCTGTTGAGAATTCAACATGGCACAGCAGTTTTTGAAGATAGTTTGGCATTTTCCTATAAACTAAACATGCTCTTACCATATGATCAAGCAATCGTGTTTCTTCGTAGTTTTCAAAGGAGTTGAAAACTTATGTTCATAAAATACTTTGAACATAAATGTTTGTAGCAGCTTTGTTCATAACAGCTTCCCCAAACTGGGAAGCAACCAAGATGTCTTTTAGGAGGTGAGTGGATAAATAAACAGTGGTACATCCAAACAATGAACTATTATTCAGCACCATAAAGAACGGAGCTAACAAACCATAAAAAGGCACGGAATAACCTTAAATGCATGTTCTTAAGTAAAAGAAGTGAACATGAAGTATGATTCCTACTACACGACATTCCATAAAAGGCAAAACTGTGGAGAGAATAAAAGATCAATGGTTGCCAAAAGTTGGAAGATTTTGAATAGGCAAAGCAGGAGGACTTTTAGGGCAATGAAATATACCGGTTTGCCACTGTAATGACAAGACCTATCCCAACACACATTTGTTCAAACCCACAGAATACAGAACACAAAGAGTAACTCCTAATGTAAACTGAGTACTTTGGATGGTTATGGTAGGTCTAGTGGGGAAGCAATGCATAGGCTGCGTTAAGAAGTCTATGGGGAGTCTCTCCAACTTCCTGTTAATTTTTCTGTGCACCTAAAACTGTTCTGAAGAAAAGACTTAAGCAATAAATATGATCACAATGATGTGGTAGAGTAGTCTGAGAAAATGTAGAGAAGCAAGACATTTCAGTGCACATAGTAATTTACATAAGTAAATTACTAGTATGAGTTTTCTTAGCCATCTTATTGAAAAAATATGGCTAAGAGAGGGGAGTTGTGAAATGTTCATATATTGTGCTTAAGAAACTCAAACCTGATCCCATAATTGGAATCTGATAAAGAGTTCTAAAAAGGAAGTACTCCAAATAAATTTGTAGTTTAAGTAGATCTCTTCGATTGCTGTGAAGGAGATGAATTTGAAAAGACAAGACCAATGACAAGAAGATTAATACCTAGGTCAGGACAGTGATTTATGACCCTGAACATTTCTAAAAATAATAAGGGTGGGAAATACACACATTGGGATGTATGATTGTATGTGGGGACTAGGGAGGAGGGATTGAAGATGACATACACATTTCTGTCATGAAGTGTTAACTCCAAAGAGCGGAGGGGCTCATACTCCTTATAAAATATGTGCATCAGAAATATCCACTGTGGTGGCTATTACAATGAGCTTGCAAGACAATATAAATTTTATTCTCATTAAGTAATCTGCTTCTCAAATGAGCATCTGAATTTACATAGTTTAGGGCATAGCACTGAAATAGAAAATCCATGGGGCCTGATGACTTTAAAGTTTGAGTCCTCCTTTAGTCATTAATTATTGTGTGACCTTGAATTAGCTACTTAAATACCTTAATCCTCATCCATTTAAATATTTAAATATTAAATAAAAACAATGAAAAGCTATGAAGTGGGAGGAGATATATGAAGGCAAAATGCAAAAATTGAAAACCAGAAGGGTGATAATATTTACCCCAGCATGTATTTCCTGCTAACATATATAGAGATGGATACATAAAATATGAAATCGATACAACGTGGGGTCAAGAGAATGAGGCCTAAAATCAGACTAGTGAAGGACAGATTGTAGCCCTGTCATAACTGGTGACACTTAAGAAGAAATATAATCTCTCCATGCCTTAGTTTCCTTTTATAAGATGGGTAAAATAAAGTCACCAACCTCATAAGTTTGGTGGAAAGACAGTGTAAAACTATGAATGTAAAGTATTTAGAGTATTTTCTTAAACTCAATATGTTTAGAAGAAATATTAATTACTAGTATGTACATGTAAACTTATTTGCATAAATATAAAGTGTGTGTATGTATGCAAACATACTTATTAGGCTGAATTATATAATTGCCCGTTTTCAACCATTTTGACTCACAAAAGTGGCAATGTCCTATAGTTTGAATATATGTGTGTGTGTGTGTGTGTGTGTGTGCATATGTGTGCATGTGTGTGTGTGTAGATAGATAGATAGATAATATACTAATTTAGTTATCTCTTTTCTGATAATTTTCTTAGGTAAGCAATAAAGATTACATTCTAGGGCAGAGAGTATTTCTGGATTCCAAATCAGAGCTGTGTAACCTTGGACAAGTTACTTGACCTCTCTCAGCCTCTCACCTCCTCTCTACAATGAAAAGAATAGAAATTTATTAGAAATATTAAAGGAGATAACATATGTGGTGTGCATAGCAAATAAGCCAGTAGATAACAAATATTTAAATATGCTAGCTCTTAATGCATGAATCATTAATTATTTACTTAAATCCCGTTTTTTGCAGATGACCACATTATATTTTCTGTCCTTCAACTTCTTTCCTTTTTCTTCTCTTCCCTTTTCTTTTCCCTTTCTTTGTCACCCCTTTTCTTTCCCTCCCTGTCTTCCCTTTTCAAATCCTTTTCCTTTTTCCCCCTTTCCCTTAATTTCCTTTTTAGTAAGTTTTCTAGATATATTATAACTTCCTGGAAGATAATCCAATGTGTGTGTGTGTGTGTGTGTGTGTGTGTGTGTGTRTGTGTAAATTTGAGGGCAGTGGTGAGATCCCTATGAAATTAATTGTGTAAGCAGAGTTTAGACACACAATATTCCTTCTCATCCTAGAAGAGAGCCTACTAATGCCAATCCATGAACCCTCTCTATTTGCTTGTAAGAATATCTAATGAAATGAGAAAATGTTGGAACTCTTGTGATCAATAAAGAGTGTCCTACACACTGTCCTGAAAGACAGAAGGACTTGATTAAGATCTGAATGTGTTTGCAAGAATATTTAAGTGGCCCTAGAGAAAGCAATGACTGAAAAAGGAGGGATATTAATTTAGGAGGATGTGCTCCCGGAAATAGTCCTTGGTAGCTCTGATTTATGCATGCTCACCTGTGTAAATTTACCTGTTTGCCCTATCTGGGGCCATTGGAACTGCTGTGGTCCRTGTGAAGGGCAGAGACAAATGTGGTCCCTAGAGCTGCTTTGAGAATTTGTATTCTCATGCCAGGACCACATAAGTAAAAATCATCTGTGCGATAAATACTGTTACATGACAAGAGGGGCTCTAGGCAAATCTTTGAGAGAAGCGCATTACAGATTCACCTTCTGACCTCTAATCTGAAGAGCAAGGGGAAACCCTGGTTTTGGAAGGTGCCAATGAAGGCCCAGTAGTAGGCAGCCCATTAGTGCAGCCCTGTCTCCGGGAAAACAGGGCACCTCTGAAGGCTCCTTGGCACACGAGGGAGAAGGTCTGGAGGTGGTCGCTGCTCTCCCACACCTTGCTGCTGCTGTATCAGCCACTGAGGAAAGGTGACTCTGAGCCTGGACTTGAGGGAAGAGAGAAATGGAGAAAGGAGGAGAAAAAAAGAAACAGAAATAAAGGAGTGTACCTGGGAGCAGTACCTGACTATGTCAACGACATTGAAAATGCATTCAGTTTCCCATTTAGAAGAGTTCTTGTTGGTTATATTGGTTTTGTCAGTTTGTTTCAATTTTACCAAATACAGAGGTGTAAAACATTCTGCATCGGATTACAGGTAGAAATTAAGCTAATAAGTAAATGAATGCATGCATGCATGCATGCATATATAAACCAATTGAGTC